TGTGGTTGGATCGCGAAAAAGGTGCGATCCTGTAGATGCTATCCACAACAACAGAAATATGTTGAAATACGGTAAACTTTCAATCACAATCAAACAGCCAGAAGAACGCATTTTGACTTTTGTAAATGCTCTTCCTTCAACTGCCAGAAAATTCTGTGAGGCACATCGTCAACTTCAATCTCAAAATCGAAGCAGAAGCTTGTGGCGCAGATTGACAGCCATAATGGGCGCTGGTCAAAATCATGTCTGAACCCATACCCTGTGAGAAAGAAACCGCCAAAAGACGAGCAGTGGAAGATGACCTCGGGCACGTACCACCAAATAGGACCAACCATGTCCGACCATGTTCCACTTGCTCTTTGTTATTTTAGTTTGTTTTTCATGATTTTGCTGGTACATGACCATCTTTCGGCATGAGAATCGGGCATGTACACTCCTCAGCGTCCTTGCCACATGCCACATGCAAGAACTGGTCCCGACGGTCCCGACGTCCGCATCGGGCCGTCGGGCCATGGCTCATCGCCACAGATCTCCACACCATCGAGGCGCAAGACCCGTGCGTCGCCCTGGGACGATCGATGCTGAGATGATTTAGAAAAAAGATCATTGTAGTATACTGTAGTGCTGCACAATAGCTTCATCTAGATGTTCCAATGATTTCTCCATTGCAGCATTTCCCAGTTGCTCGGGAATTCAATGCTGCCTATAGGGCCCAGGGTCCGTGTAGTCGTACCAGTACAGCATGGGAAAGACCCTACAGGTACTACATGGTACTACTTACATGCTGCTGAGTCAGTCGGAGTCATGTCAAATGATGTCTTCTCCATTCTTCCTGTTCTCACCCTCACCAAGCTCCAAAGTTTTTTCTTCCACTAGTAGCGTCCTTGCTCTCAGTAGCGATGCCCTTTGCTCCTAGTAGCGATGCCCTTGTTACTTCTAGTCTGTCCCCTCGCATCTCTTTGGCACACAGCTTCTAGGCTCCCCAGCCACATCGGAGGGCGGCGGTGGCGGCGGCGGAGGGGCGGGCGGTTGCCCGGCCGGCGGCGGGATATGCCCGCTTTGTGCCTGGGGAAAAGGAGACCAAGGTGCTTCATATGTTCCCTAGGTTGCTGTTGATGCCATACATGAGGGGGAGTGTATTTTTGTTCTTAAGGTTGCTTTTGATGAGGTTAGGATTTGTTTAGGCGCGTTTGGTTTCTTGTTTGAGATGTCAAAGGACTTTGAAAAGAGGGGAAAACATAATGAATGTATAATAGTCTATTGATTAGGTGGGTGTGTGAGTGTGGGTGTGTGGTGATGCACACCATGTCGTGTCTTGCACCTTTCCATTAGGTCAATGATATACATCAAACGAATTGGACATGCACAACGCTTCCCAGAATTTGGAAAAGGGCATTGGTTCTGTCCACCCTCAAACAAGCCAAAAGAAAAACACACCCATTGCATCCATAACACGGCATGGAAAACTTTATGAAGAAACAACACAACAAACTGATCAGAAGTTACAGGCAGGGGATCACGCTCCTTCTCCACTGCATTTAGCTAATGGACCAATGGGCATACCAAATTGACATAATGACAATGTAATGACACGAAACCTGAGACAAAAAGTTCAGAAGCAAAACAACCCGTCAAGAACGGGGAACTGTCATACCTGTTTGATGGTTTTAGAGATCTTCAGAAGGCTTGGCGATGTAGTGCCAAGAGAAAAAAGAGACACACAAAAAAACACAAACAAACAAAAACAAACAAAAAAAGAGATTGGTGTCTTACGGAAAGGTTCTAACATTGTTTTCTACAATCTCAGTGAACGTTGAAACAGTGGTCACCGAGTTCTTTTAGAGATAGAGGCATCAAACACATCATCACCAGAACTTAAGCTATTGTCGTCGTTGTTGACTGGGATGAAAGCATGCAACAGCATATAGATCATATAGAAAAACCTATCAGGAAGCGGGTGACAACCTGGGTCTCGAAGGACAGTGTTCAGCGCACTCCATGTTGAGGCAAATGCTCACTGTGCTTCATTGGTTAGCAGTGCTTATTAACATCATGGTAATCAGCCTGCACCTGTAGTTGGAGGACAGCCACAACACCGGTCACCAAACTGTAGAACCACATTCCAATGACGTATATATGTACATGTATCTGTATATATATATATATGTACATGATCCTACTATATACATGGATCCAAACCCAATGACCTGTATGGTTCTCACCTCTTCCTAGAATGACCCACGATGTCTTGATGTGCACAAAGAGGCAAACACATCTTGCCTGTGCCGGTGGAGGAGCAGCACCTGCGGCATCGGCACCCCTGCCCCTGACCCACATCGAATTAAATAAATATATGTGTATAGCTGCAATTGCTAGAAACGAACGTGGTGGTCAGCTCAAGACTTCGATGTGCCAATATGTGCCAATGGATTCTGGGGTTCAAAAGCAGCAGCTGAATCACACCGCTGATCCAAGCCACCGCTCCATTGATCCTAGCAGAACCCCGTTGAACTTGCGCGGGGTCCGGTTCCGAACACGTGCTTGATCAGCCTCTGCATAGTGAAAGGTGCCGAGCCTGGTTTGGGCGCCGGCTTTGAGGCATTCTCCACTTTCTGTGCCTGGAGCGCCGGCAAGTGCCAAGTCGTTCGGTTGAGGGTTTGGCCTGAAGAGATGCCGCCGGCTAGGGGTTGGTGTGAGGAATCCAAACAGCTGAATTGCATTTCTTATAGTTTGAGAGCCCAGTCTCGAGATCCTCACAGCATATTCTATGAATGGTTTTTGTTGCAATCATCACTCCCACAAGAGTGATTGTGTGAACCTGTCTAGCATCATGCTTCTTCCACGTCTTTTTTTCCAAGGGTACTCAAATGTATTCACTGTAATAGTTGAGCGCCAAGAAACCACTAAGCATGGCATGACACCAAGAAAATAATGTTCAATGTTATCTATTTAAACAAAGCAAACAACACAATTAGAATCTGTGGAGATGCGTGGAAGCAACTTCAAAGCTACTAGCCTTGAGGCGTTCCAAGATCTTCTGCTTGATCGTTGGAATCTTCGCCCGCCGTGCAGCTTCCGGAAGGCCTCACTACCGGTGAGCGGAGTGTGCTTTTGTGTGAATCATGTGGAGTGAAAGGTTTTAGGGTGCTCCCTGGGACTGCATGAACCGATTTTACCATGAACAACAAGCAAATAAATAGCTGGCGATATTTAATGTTCAGAAGTCAGAAGGGGCTCACATCCACAGCTTGTGAAGGGAATCAAAATCCAGAGCATGTTTCTGCAATGATACTAAGGTTGGAAACACGACGTTGTCTTAACCCAAATACGCTTTCGGAGGCACATCAGCCCAAAGCTGTCCAGCATTTTCGAACGCAAATCAACTTAGAAAAGGCCGTGCTCCTTCTTCTTGTTGTCCCTCTTCCACTTCGGCAACTTTGCAAAGGCGGCCTTGTCCATCCCGAACAGCGACAGGAAGACGTCCTCAGGCAGGTAGCGCTCCCGCTCAGTGGCAATCACATTGCGAGCTTTCCACACAGAAGCATCTTGCAGTTCAGCTAGGCTTAGGATCTCTGTGATGTCGGACGCTGTGCCTGCCGTGCCCGCAGCAAAAGCCGTGGTCTTGGCCGCGGTCTCCTTCTCCTGGAACAATGCCTCCTTGGGTGCTTCCTTGGGCGCCTCCTTTGGTTCCTTCGGGCTAGCATAGCCTTCACCCACCTGTGCAGCTCGGGGCGGTGACAAGCCCGGCAAGGCCACGGCTCCTGCGGGCGGCTTTGGCCCTGCAGGTGCTTCCAGCGGCGCGGATCGTGGTTCCGCCGCTTCGGGCGAGGTCGCCGAGACAGCAGCCTTCTGGGAGGCAGCCAGGCTATCATCCAAGTCATCATCGTCCGTGGCTTCTGCCAAGACCACCTCCTTCTCCGCGAGTTCTTTCACTTGCTCTAACACCGAGGCCTTGAAGGTCGAGATCTTCATTTTCTGCCTCACCCCAGCGCCTTCAGGCAGCCAAGTGATGAAAAGGAGTTGCTGACCTAGGGCTGGCAGAATCACAAAGGCAGGCTCTGCTGGCAGCCGCCCCCGCAGCGCCGTCACGGCACTGGTCTCCTCCAGAAGCTCACCATGAAGCTCCTCTGAGTCCAGCTTGGCGACCACCGCCGACTGCTCGGGCTTCTCCAGGAAACTCTTCATGGCTTCTTCGAAGCTCGCGTTGACCTTCACCTGCAGCGCCGCCAGGCCCGCCAGCTTCTTTGGGGCCATGGCTTGTTCTTTCGCCACCTGCTTCCGTACCTCCAGCTGGTCAATCTCATCCTGTGTCATGGCCGCAAAGCGATCTTGCTCGGTGCGAGTGCGGGTGCTCTCCAAGTATTGCTGCCACGTGACCTCCTTTCTCTCACTGCAATTATACTCCTTGAAGCGCAAATGCGGAAACTCCTCTCTCAAGGTCCTTCTGGAAGAGGCGCACAGCATCCGCAACTTCACTGGCGAGATGTCCGGAGTCCAGGCGATCATCGCCCAGTTGGCCGCCGTGGTCTCGTGAATGCCCTCCAGTGAGAGCAGCACCAAGCACGGGGTGGAGTCCTCCAGCAGCTCGTCCAAGGCCTGAAACACTTCCTCTGGCACAGCAATCTCCTGCGAGACCTCCCCGGAGCAAACCAGGCACTCTGCAGTTGGATCCACATCCACCTTCACTGCCCGAGGCGGCGTCATGGCATCAACGCCAAGGAGATCTTTCAGTTTCTGCTCCACGGACAGGTTTGCATTGGCGCCCCCCAGCATCATCTTCAACTAACTAACAGCTTGAAGAGCCAGATGCTGTCAGTCTTTCTCAAATCTAAAGATCGGTTTCTTCAAATATCCACGTAATCCTGGCCTCCAAAAGATGTGGTGAGCAGTGATCATACAAAAAATACATGGGTCAAGTCAAACAGCAGCACCTGTTCCCTTCATCTTTTTCTCGCATCCCTCTCTCTCTCTCAAGCACTGAACTTGTCTGCCACACATCAATACGCACATGGAGGCTCAGCTTCCAACTGGCTGGCAAGGCCTTCTCGGCCATTTCCTGCGGGGGAATCCAAGGCTGTTGTGGGAACTGGGGGTTAGCTGGAGGTATGCATGGGGCGAGGGGACCTTCGGGGCTGTGTGTTGCCGACCAACCCCCAAACCCCAAGGTGTGAAAACTCCCGCGCTGTTTATGTGTTTCTTTTTGTATTGATGTTGCGGTTTGCCTCTTTCTGCACTTCCACAGTCCTTTGTTGTTGTTGTTGTTGTGCAAGCTGCTCCTTTACCTTGGATCAGTCCGAGGACCATCCAAACGAACTTGGATTGGTTTGTTGAACCATCCTTAATTAAGTTGAAATGAACGGTCTTGGACTATTTGATTGGGATACCGTTGCACAGCAAGCAAACCTTCTAGTTTTTCGACTGGTGTTCATGTCGTCTGAACTTGTGCGTGTGTCTTCCTCTGCGCTGTGTTCTGCTTTTGTGCTTGCACATCGTCTACGTCTGCGACTGGCGCTCTCAAGACTTGGTTGCCACAAGAAACCCGGAAGAAAGAAGGCCATCATCTTGAAACAAAGCACTCGTCCAAGCTAGGGAAGACAGTGTGGCAATGAGTGTGGAGCCGGCACAGCTTTTGTGGAAACCCCTTGCAGGAAATGAAGGCGATCTCCGCAAGTGAAGTAGATTCTTGATGATTCTTGCGCGCGCACACACTAGGTCAATCACCCCAGCACCTGAAGTGCACAGGCAGATTCACCAACCCTGCCAAGTGTACTGTGTACACTACAAGTTGCTTTGAACAGGACTTGTTTGAGACTGCCAAATGACTTCAAAAGGCACCTCGAACAAGAGCTGCAACACATGACAAACCACAAGCTCTGGGGCTTTCATAAAGCAACCTATATAATATATATGAGCCTCATCTGACCTGCAACCGGCGACTACAAAGAAGCATGCCATGAACGCCAAGTCTAAGGCTAAGGGCAAACAGGGGCAAAGCCTTAAGGAATCCCACCTGTCAACAGATCGTTGAAGACACTCCAAAACCCCTTCACATCCCCAAACCCTTAGTAACAATGTTCGCTACTAGGAACAAGTGCCTCGCTACTAGGAGCAAGGGCCTTACTAGTAGTAACAAGAAGCTACTAGGAACAAGTGCCTTACTAGTAGTAACAATTAACTATAATTAGAATTGTAATTAATTGTAATTCACATCCCCAAACCCTTGACAGATTCACATCACGCCCCCACAGATTCTTCAGAACATCTTTGAGGCTATGGAACATGTTCCTGGTCGAGTTTCGGAGGTGAAAGCAGCTGAAATCTTCTTCGTTGCCACAAAAATCACATGGTCATGACCCCAAAGAGTCCGCTCCTGTGCCTGCTTTTCCAAGTCATCATCCTCATGATGAGGATGGCACGGCTTAAACTAGGACATCAAGGGGTTCAAGCAATGATGGTTGTTCCTTTTTCCTTTGGCCCATGGGTTTATCATTCACTCACTTTTATTTAGCGACAGCCATTGGGCCATTTCAATGGATCAAACAACACCCTCAGGAGAGTGGGAAACACTGCATTTGTTTCTCATCAAAATTGAACGGCTAGAGTCGTCGCACTACTCCAGTCGTAGCGATGCCCTTTGCTCCGTTCATAGCGATGCTCTTTGTTCCTAGTAGCGTCCTCTTGTTACTATAGTAAGTAGTGTCCTTGCTCTTAGTATATTTAATGCCCTTGTTACTCCAATGGGATCTCACCTAGTCTGCAGGTTCACATGTTGCCAGCATCTGTCAGCAAGCCTGCTCAGGTCTATCACAAAGTGAGAACCCAGAAACGAGCTTGTGGCTCCTTCCCCTTGATATATTGAAACGACCATCTCTTGGACCGCTGCACCATGCTGCACCTCATCGAATGAAACCGCATCTGAGTTCCAATCCGCCATTGCAGCCCGATCCTCAAAGTGAGGACAGAAACAGCAGGGCGGCCTCATTAAACAACTCCTAGAAACACATAGAAATACCGGCGACATCTCAGCAACATGTCCACAAATATAGGCTCAGTTGATGAAGCCCCGCAATCCGACTTCTGCTGTGCAACATCTCTACTCATTCTATCTCATTCTACTGTCTGCAACTCCTGAAGGTCAAGAATTGACCCTGATGTTCTACCACATGATATCCTGGACAGTTGTGTTGGCATTTTCAAGAAGGATTTCGAGAGTACCAATGCTTGACTAACTAACAAGTGTCCGTGAGTTTGTGTGTGTCGATTCTATGAGGGTTTCCAGCCTTGAGTCCCCGGGAGTCCCGGGAGCCAAATTTGTTCTATGAGTCAGTGTACCAGGTGTCATGTCTGGTATCTCAAACTCATACTCTGGGATATCTTGAGTGTGATGCATCCCGCAGATGTAGAACCTACCTCGTATCTGGATTCTTCGTGTCTTCCCTTTGTGAACCACCTTGCCATACCCTACACCAGCGCGGCCTCGCTGGAGCTGGCTTCAAGCCTTTGGATCCAGAAAACGAGCCTTTGGATGGAGAACAAAACATCACAAAACATCCAGAACATGAGTACACAAGTACACAAGTACTCATCAAAAGAACACAACATGCACAGAAGTTTTTGTGCAAGATCATGCAAGTTGTGTTCTGTGCATTTCTGCCGAATGCCCAGCTTTCCGAGTGGCGGTGGCTGGCAGGATAAGTGTGATACAGTCTGTGATACATGACTACCGGATCAGGGAGCACGCTTACCATCGTACTCACTCTTGGTGTCCCGTCAAGATGCCCAAAAATGACGGAAACAGTATGTACAAAGATCGGAGCAAATTGGGAAACACATCATTCCTTGTCCATTGATCTACCGGGTTTCACAAAGAAAAAACAACGAATCTTCTGAATATACCGAAACATTGGCTGCTTCCTTCCTTCCTTCCTTCCTTCGTAATTATCCGTAAAGAACGGACACCGCCTCCATCATCATCGCGTCGCGGCTCGCATGGCTAACAACCACGGCCGCGGGGGATCAGCTAGTCGGGTTGGAGGGGTTGGTGGAGGGGTTGGCTGGGGTGGCTTCTGGTGTTGTCTACAACGGTTTCAGGAACCGAAAGCAAACAAAAGGAGCTCTGCACTTTTTTGCGTATATCTAGAGAAGATCTGTCATCAGCTTTTGACTTTAGGCTGGGTTTCCTCGTTACTGTATTTAGCCTGTACAGCTCAAGGAGGAAGAAGGGGTTCGGCGCGGCGACATGCTGCGTCCCACAGTGCAAGTACAAGTACCAAGAAGAAGTACAGGCTCTTGTTGGCCAAACATGCAAAGCTGTTCGAACCCAAATCATGTCCACTAAAAGAGTTGTGAAAGATCTAAAAAGTCCTACTAAACTACAAAGCAAAATAGTCTGACAATGTGCTGCAATAAAACACTACTATAACTCCTCTCCAATCAATTGAACACACCCCCAACATCGCCCCCAACCGCCTTCAATCTCGCACCGGTCTACCCACCGGTCTACCCACCGGTACTCCCACCGGTCCCGTCCTTTTCCTTCGCGCGCAACAGCTCCCTTCCCCTCGGATGGCTCTGCTCCTTGCGCGCTCTCGTCGTTCGACGCGCAAGGCGTTCTCGTCGTCCCCACGGGCCGAGCCTCCCGTCATGGGCCGAGCCTCTTGGGTCTGTCGATGTTCGGGATTGGTGCGACCAGGTGTTCGTTCTGGTGGAACACCTGGTGTTTCAAATGCTGAACTGGAGCCTTCAATCGAGAAATCTATGAACCTGGAGAATTCCAAACATTCCAACAAATCTCAGAGGCCCTTTGCTCATCTTTGCTCTGCTGTATCTCTCAAACATATTCTGACAGTTTCATGACTCTGCCCCATGACCCTCCAACCCGGAGGTCGGCTCGCATGCCGGCACGCGCTTAGGCGTCGCCAGGCCGCTTGACCTGGTTGATTCGTGTAGGGTTTGCCCCCCGGCCAAGTCCATGCCCGGAGCCAGGCTTGATTCCCTCTCTTGCCGGCCCATGTGAATGGAGCTACATTTATGGCTATATATGGCGAGTCGCATGCCGCATAATCATTAAATATGAATCCAGCAAAACATGCATGAATCCATTGGTGGGTGTTCCTCTATGATCCATGAATCCATTGGTAGGTGTTCCTCTATGATCCAGCTTGGGTGAGCACCCTTGCAACTCCTGGCTCCAGAGTTGCGCGCACTCGGCAGAATGCACCTCTGCCAGACTGAGTAATTATCTTCTGCGAGTGCATGGAGTTTCGTGAGACAGAAAAAGCGCCGCCCGTCTCGTTATCTCGTGGGGGCGAAACCCGCCCCGGGCGGGCGCAATTGACATCCCCCAGCTTTCCAGCATGTTAGAGAAACCAGCAAGCAATAGATAGATGATTGATCTGATGGATCTGATGCTTGATGTATACTTCAAGTTTTAGTAGACTTGGAAACTGATAGACGCTTGGTGAGGGCATCATGTCAAACAAAACCTTTGACAGCATCCATTGTTTGCGTGTATGTTGCTCAACCGATCACAAGTAGTGAATTTGACAACTCAATGGTTCATCTAGATAGTTAAGCAGTGCGCCATTTCCTAAACAAAGGGGTAAAACTGTTGGACAGTATGGTGAATTCCAGCAGCCATTGCTTGGATGGTCTCAACATCGTCCCGTGCCAGGCCCGGGATGTCAATATGTGGGGATGGTGTAAGGCGAAAAGCTCCTCTGCCGATCAAGACTCAGCAAAGGGTCTGCACTGTGCTCCTGAAAGCCTCATTCATGCAGTGTTTGAAGTGAAATCGTTGGATGATGATAGTTCCAATGCACTTCATGGGGTTCCCATTCAATAGAACCGAGGTTGAAATGGTTTTGTCATTGGTTGCTTTGCAGCTTGCTTCCACGGTTGGATGGATGGATTCCTTTAGAAGGGCAAGGTATGTCTTTACAAAGGCCTCCAAAGGCTGGCAAATGGCTGTCCTGCATGTGGTTGATGTCTGGGGCAATGTCTTCCCGTGACAGCAAACAGGTGTGTCGGTGGCTAAACTACGGATTTCACTATCCTTACAAGTATAGAAGAGTCCTCTATCTTCTTACCAGTCACGCATCTTCCTCCAAGCCTCATGTGTCCCTAGCAGCTTCGCTGCGGCGTCTAGTTGTGCTGCTACGCCTTCTCAGAACTCTCCGCAGAATGCAAGCGGGTTCGATGTGGCTTTAACTCCTCTCTGCTCTTTGGGGGTATGTAGCCATTCCAATCTCATCGTCACATTTAATTCTCGTCAGCAAGTACATGGGACATGCACAGTTCCACCAAATCTTTAAAAACATTGCTCAATCTCATCCCTCTGGCAGTCTTTCCTGTTGCTTCTGGCATGCTCCATAATTCCGTCAAACCTGAGGATTCTATGTTCTCTTGTGATCATCCCGTAACAACTTGACTTAAATTCTGGTTTATCTACCCACTGTATATCAACCACATGCAGGCTGTTCTCTGCACAGCTCAGGTGTACAACTTTAGTTTGTTGAGCTCCTGTGCTGTGGGCCTAGGCCGGTGAAAGGGAGGCAGGACCTGGCCCTAGATTTTTGGGTGTGGTCATCGTGGGGATCCTCCCACCAAGTGGGCTAAATTGTTTAATCACAGGAATTTCTGGAGGTCCATGAGTGCACTCCATTTTGGACACATCCATAGTGTTGGGCCAGCTGTAGCCAGGTTTCGGCATTCTTGGGCAAAGATTCAATACAGGCAGGTACTAGGTACTAGTCTGTTACGAGTATGTTTGAATGCAGCAGGTCACGAGCTATCTGATTTCTTGTAACTTCGGTTCGTGATTGAATCGGCCTGCTGAACATCGCGGATGTTGGCCGGCAACCTACCCGCAGGAACAGCATGCCAGTTCTACTATCTCAATACAATAAACGTGGCCAATCCTAAGCAACACGTATATCATCAGAAAAACAAAAAAGCAACAGAACAGATTCTCAACAGTATCTGCCTGGTTCCTAAATTGTGATCCCTTTTGTGGGTCGCACTTGTGCAACAGCTTGTTTGTATCCGGCGTGTATGCGTTTGAGAATTAACTATGCTTCGGTGGTGTGCTTTGGGGGATAGGAACCGCCTGGGTCAGACATCCCACCTCTAATTACAGAACCTGGACACCTCAAAATGAATACAAACCATTACAAACCCAGTTCAGTACACTAAAGCCAAACAACATCACAAGCTGCCCTCCGGTGGCCCAGGCGGGTTTCCGCGCCGGTCCAGCGGGTTCCGCCTGAGGCACATCTTGATGAGGTCCGAAGCCTGCCAGGACCAGGTGGAGGAGACACTACTAAGCCTACCAATTTTGAATCATGTTGACTACTATGTTGACGATATAAGTGAAACACGATGAAAAACGTGAATCCTCAAGTCAAAGTGAAGGCATTATACCGCTGTGGCCACCAAACCGTTTGACTCCGCCACAGCGAGCCGCTGTGCGACGTGAAGTGACCCTTCACTCCGACCTGTTGGGAGAGCTCCGCTGGTATCGTGGGCAACTCCTCTGAGTTGGCGATGACGTGACACGCCTCCCACCGGCGGCGCCCGTCATGACGATGTGGACACACCGCACACGCTCGCCGCACCGTTCGCCGGTTGGATGCCATGTTTGGGTGAACTGCGGTTGGGATGAGGCGGATGAAGGATCCAGGGCAAGATAGGACAAGGAAGGGGAAGCATGCTGCAGGATCAAATACTTGTGGTGGTCCCCGACACAACGAAAGCAACAAAAATACTGAAGAATACTGTCACTGTAACACATCAGACTCAAAACAGAAGCGCATGAACTTTGTGTTCGTGAAAACGCCTGCAGGATGTTGTCGAAGCACCGTTCAGCCCACGGAGCCGAGCCAGTGGCCATTTCCAGGACACAGCAGCCCAAGGACCAAATCTCGGGACGTCGGTGCGACGTGTTTGGATGTGGGAGCTGCAAGGGAGCTGATCGAAAGACACCAATCAACCTTTAAAGAAATGAGAATAGTTAATATTCAACTTATATATATATATAATTATTGGTCTGTCATGAGCAACGGATGCATCAGGCACAGAAAGAAACTCCGGTGGTTGTTTGGGGACGGCTTGTTTGTCCATCTCCATAGTATGAGATCATGCCAAACTCTTGTTCGCTCGTAAGTGAAGCTGCGGCTTACACCCATCCCGCCACGCCAACCCAGCCACTGGCATCGGATCCGGCCAAGCACAGCAGCCCAAGCCGAGGCACATCGGACGATGTGGTCAGTTTCCCCCGACCTCGAAAGAGCTCCGGCGCCTCAGTGAACTGGAGGACTGGACCCAAAGAACAATGAGGGTTGAAATGGCCAGAACCTGCGAAGACCTCCAACAAAAATGGATCAAAACACTGGATGCACAACACCTGGATGGTTGTTGGCTCGCTCAACACCTTTTCCTGTTGCTGTACATATCAAAGATCTGCCCAACAGCTGGATAGACTCCCTTTCAAAATTGTTGTTTGATCTGGGCTTGTCTCGAGAAGGGGAACACTTCAAATTCAACCTATGTGTATTCATCTGTATAGAACTGTATTCCTTCTCCAAAGCCCAAACCCTTAAAACCGTGAAAACAGGTTCTGACTCTGGCACCTATAGTTCCTATAATAGTTTCTTGTTTAATTTAGCCTCCAACCTTACTAGCGATGCCCTCCAACCTAATAGCGATGGCCTCCACCCTAGTAGCCATGGCCTCCAACCTAAAAGTTCATTATTTCTTGCTTAATTTGATTGTTGAAGGATGTTGAAGGTAGAGTCAAAGAAAAAGCTCAGAGTTACAAAGGTTCAGCTGGAATGTGCTCAAGAACCAGCATATCGATATGGAGCGATCCTCCATTCCTCTTGAAACCGATCCAACCCTAAACAGCCAAACAGCTTCACTCCCCCCATCCATCAACTTCTCTGGGTCTCCCGAGCCATCCAAAAGATTGAGCCAGCTACAGAGTTCTGCGCGTCGCACGCAAGGCGCGCAAGTACACGCGAGCTGAGCCGCTTTTGCGCCGGCAAACACTGCTTTTGGGATCTCTTGGGAGTTGAAGCTCGCTACTTGGGCTGACAAACTCATAGATTGCCGACATACGATTCATCGCTGGGTTCACCGTGTATGTTTTTTTACAAAGTCACCATCGACAAACAACATGGATGCCCTGCACGTTTTTTTAATCCATGGGGACAAATAGATGGGGCGGCAAAATGCTACTTTTGCTCCAAAACGGACAGAGCGCCAAAAGCTGAAACAAAAAAGACTGCTAGGAGCAAGAAGCTACTATAGGAGGAAAAGGGCATCGCTACTAGGAGCAAGGATGCTACTAGGGTTTCCTGGCCTTACTACTAGTAACAATAAAGCTACTACTTTTCATTACATTTAACCCTCGTCTCTCACCCGGATGTGCCTCCAACATGGACTCCCCAGGCTGAACCCATTTGGAACAGCCGAAGTCCGCAATCTTTACCTGGTGACTAGACTGGCGTTGACAAAACGAAGTCGTACGTGAGCAAAAAGAATGGATGGGGGGATGGGAGAGGTTCGATGAGGTTTGGACAGGTTTGTACATACTTGTACTGTGCATCCTCATATTTTGGGCGGGACGCTGGTTGGTTGGAGTCTTACCTGGAGAGGACACGATGGATGTTTTGCGGGATGTGGAGATGTCTGCACAAATTACTGGCATGCCACCTTCGGATGTCTCATAATAGTTTCTGGGTTCGAATCAGTTCTAGATCGCTGAAATGATAATAATAACTATAACTATATATATATAAATACAAAGGATTGGAAAGGGAAACTCCTTCAGTCTAGGAGCCCAGGAGCTTTGCTTGGGCCTTTCAGGAAGCCATGTTTCTGCTGACCCAAATTGTCTGGAAGCAGCAAGCATAACCTCCCGCAAAAAGAATACTCCCGGCAAAAGAATTCTCAACGGAAGCGAATTGCCTTCCAAACTGCAAAACTACAGTAGCAATCTATTGCACTTTCCCCACCCAAGGTGACGAACCCGCGTGCTTGTGGAACTACAGGTTAAGTGAATCAACATCAGTAGCCACATCTCATCTCTTAAAATATCTTCAGGATGTGGCAATTGAGTTCGTTCCCGAAGGGCCGAGTTCACAGCGATTCCCTCTAATTTCTTGTGTTCGAATGATCTTGTTGGGTCCAACCCCGGCTTACCAGAGTGGAATGTTCCGAATTGAAGACTCTTCAAGTCTTCACCTTAACCAGTTCAAAGTCAGGTTCCGAAGGTTTGGTAAAGAAGCCAATTTACTTCTTTACCTTGTTATGCGTCAACCTTCGGGAGGTGCATTTTGACAAGCTTGCTGGCTTCGTCAGTGTTTTCAAGCCTCTCTCATCTCACAGAGTCACTTAGTTGTGCATTGATGCTTCCATTCAGTTGTGTGACTGGCTACTCGCTCTTCCAAGGGCCCGGGCGGTTCCTGTAAACTTGTGCGTCTTCCTTTTTCTTGTTTGGGATCAATTCCGGCTTTCGCTGCTTAATTTGCTCTTCTTTCGTCTCACTTCGTTCGTGCTGAGTTTCGCGTGCGGCACTCAGGGCATCAGGTTTTAAAAAATCAAGTATTCCTTTTCTTGGTTCAGTGGCTTTGCAGAAACTGCCCGTTGTCCAAAACGCTCGCTCTGGAATATTCACAGCACAGAATTAACTTGTTTCATGAAGGATGATCTTGCCGGGTTAGCTAAATGCGGTACTTTTATGAATGGAAAAAATCATGTCCACCGTGTGGTTGGCCCGAATTGCATCCTTCCAAGGCGCATCTCCGCTGTGTGTCAGCAAAACGTTCGCACCTCATTCATGGAACCAGTGAAAGGCGGGAGCCATCCATGAGTGGACAACATCTGGCACCAATTGTTTAGACTGACCCACCATTAACCATTTAAGGCACGGTTCAGGTCTAATGCTTCTGTATAATATCTTCTAATGGCTCAATCCCCCAACAGTGTTCAAGAATGGCTTGCCCTGGAGTCCAAAACATGTCAAAACCCAACTGGTCAGGTTCAGGTTGTCACATCGCTCTGCATCCCAAGCAAGCCATCAAGTAAACCTTTCTTACAAAATCTCTGTCAGTTTCTGATTGAAAGACTCACAGGTGTTCAGTAGGGCATCAAAGAAACTCCCATCGCAGCATCCAGACATGGTCCCACTATGTCCCACTAGTTCGTAGGAAACCAGTGCCTGAAGTTGATTCAACCCAATCGTCAAAGCCGGAGTTTTTGGAATCGGCACTCCATCACAAGGGACACCACGACCATCCAAGCTGCTCCAAGTTGACCGAGACATGAGTCAGTCAGTCGTTTCTGAAAGGATACACAAATTGAAAGCGATGGATAGGCCATCTTTTGCCGATACTTGTGCCATATGAGAATAAACATACCCACAGAAAAGCGTAGTCTAATGAGAGAAATTGAAACTGCCCGTGCTGGCTAGCAGCTGGCTCGGCCGCTTTCCCACCCAGAAATTCTAGAGGAGAAAATGGAAAGTTCTCCATCAGGTTTCTTTACAACATCAGATGTGGAGCCAGGAGAGGAAAACGAATCTTGAATCTCAACGGAAGCCTCAATTGTTTTCTCTTTGAATGTTGCTGCAGAAATAGATCTGATGATATCCGATGTCTATTTAAACAAACAAATTGGTTGTGCGGTTTGCCAGCGTGCTGTCTGAAAAGGTTTGCAGGTGGTGGTGGTGGTTATTGTGCGTGACGTTAACCCAAGGCCGGCACACTTCAAATCCCGGTGCACCACAGGGGGGCTCCGAGAGTGCAAGTACACGAGGCCGCTGATCAGCTGCTGGCTATACTTCCTGTGAGATCGCCAGGCATCACCATCACACAAGGGGTGACATCACATGCATTCGCGCAGTGAACGTGACCCATTTGCCCTGCATGCACGGTGTGGTCGTTTGGTTTTGGATTATGATCTGTTGAAACCACGCTTGCTCATATATTACATCGTATCCAACTTCTAAAGGACAAATTACTTCTCGAAACAGGTTCCAGGCATGCTTAGGAAAAAAAGAAACTCGGGACAAGACTGACAAGACAAATTACCACTTCAAACAGCTGCACCTTCCAACAGTACAAACCACAACTCTCCACTTCAGTGCTCTTCTACTGTAGTGATTTGTCTCACCTCCCCCGCTCCTTAAAAGCTCCTCACTCACGGGCCCGTAGGTACGGAGTTGCCTCAGTCTCACGTCATCCATACGGTCCCGAACAGTTCCAACAAGATCTGACTAGGAGAGACCATATGTTATGACAAATCCAACCTAATAGCGATGGCTTCCAACCCAATAGCAATGGCTTCCAACCTAATAGCAATGGCTTCCAACCTAATAGCGATGG